TCGCAATGTACGCCACGCCGCTGTAAAGAATCGATTATTTTGGTGATCCTCACGAACATTCCCGATAATCGATTTCCTTTCATAGGTTTCAATGACGTATCAATCGATACATCGCAAAGCATGACACGCCGTACTGCCTCCAAAATCTTCAACTCCAATTTACGGTTTCTTTTCGCGAAATGACGATGCAGGCGGTGCTATAAACACTCCAAAAATTTGATCCACACATCCTTAAATTCAGCCAAGATATAAACCTTCTGACATGGTGAAATTGTCACCGGCCGGAAAGAAATAGAGACGTAAGCTATCGGTTTTTTGACGGAAGGGCGTATCTTTATTTCCACATGGACCCCGAAAGCACAGAGTCATGAGAAGATCACGCAGAAATAGAGGTAGATCCTTACGTCAGGGGAATGACTATATCTGATCTCAATACAATGCCAAAAAAATATTTTCATCGAATTCCGTCTTTTATAAACTAACAATCCAATATCGTAATTTCCGAACAATCCCGATATTACGGACTCTGGGCGCAGTCACTGTATAATAGTTCCTCTCGTGAGAGGATTTTAGTTCCTAATATTTATTTCAGAAATATCGCAAAGAAAGTTCTTTTCAATTTGGTATTATTGAAATATTCTCAACGTTCCCTCAATCCACTACGCTAATCCTGTTTAGGTTAAAATTTTTAAAACAGCAGCCCGTGAAAATGGCGATATCAAAAACAGGAGAAAAAACGGGAAACAAGGCTAAAAATTACACATACGTATGCAGGTTTCTATTTGGAATTTTTATATTTTTTTTTTTTTTATAATGACTCAGTTTTGGACCGAAACGTCTTGGATTTTTATGTGTAATTTTTAGCCTTTTACCCCGTTTTTTCTCCTATGTTTCTAATCCTGTTTAAGATGCAAGACCGATCAAGAAGAGAACGCTGGGACTATGGTCGGGCGTGATTGCAAAGTGATAACAGATTGAGGCGAGAAAAGTAAGAGTGACGTGGAGAAAGGGAGGAGTACTGCATAGAATAAAAGGAAGGGAGAAAACAAACAAGAAAAAAAATTGGAAAATAGAAAATGAAATCGTGTTCCAGAAGTGCTCGGTAGGATGTAGACTTCAACCTCTACCGTGTTATGTTTGTTAAAACTTCGGACCAGGAGAAAAAACCAATTCAGTGGATATTTTCCGGTACAGTTCTTATATTGTTGCCGGATTCAACTGGTTTTTCCCCTACCACAAGGGTTGCAAGGGTCAGAGAGAACTTGGAAAAGTCAGAGAATTTGAAAAAGAAACCCTGGTGAGTCAAAAAAAATAAGGGAGTTTTGCTCCGAGTCAGCTAACTTAGTAGCCTGCTCATTAGCCTTCAACTATATTGATGCAATTTGAGCGGCTCAGGAGTTGAAATAGTTGTATCTTGCATTTTGGTTTAGCGTTGTGTCCGAAAAGCGAGTGACCCCAATTGTCTCTTTCGTGTTTCTAATGACCTCCTCGGTGGAGCGTCCAATAACTTTTACTCGATTCCCTTCTTGGAAATATATTATGATGTTGTCATTGAGATAAGTGCCGCGAACATGAAGAAAAACTTAAAGTAAACTATGTCTGCCAATGGATTTACCTCAAGTGGCCTCTTTTTTCTATTTTTTTTTTAATTATTTGCGCGAAGGTTAAATGTATGCATCAAAAAGGTTTAATAAGGAGTTTAGTAAGGAGTTACTTTCAAAAAGCATTATTGTACAAATGGGGATCTGCGTAAAATTTGCGTCTTAACGTGATTGTGGCAATTCCTTCGTGAGCAAAAACGGCCATCAGGTCGTGAGTATCACGCCATATTTTTTGTGACTTTAAAACGACTCCATGCTAGGACGATATATTTCACGTGATTGTCGAGATTCCTACGTGTGCAAAAACGGCCAACAGGTCGTGAGTTTCACGCCATATTTTTTGAGACTTTAAAATGACTCCATGTTAGGACGCTGTGTTTCACGTGATACTGGGGATTCTTATGTGCGCAAAAACAGCCATCAGGCCATGCGATTCAAGCGATTTTTTTTTTGTGACTTTACATGGACTGCATGCTGGTTGCAAAAACGACCATCAGCTTGTGCGGCTCATGCGATATTTTTGTGACTGTCAAACGACTCCATGTAAGGATGCTGTATATTACGTGATTTTGGAGATTTCTTTTCGTGCGAAAACGGCCATCAGGTCGTGCGATTCACGCGATATTTTTTGTGACTTTACATGGACTGCATGTAAGGTGCAAAAACGACCATCAGCTTGTGCGGCTCATGCGATATTTTTAGTGACTTTCATACGACTCCTTTTCAGGACCCCCTATTTCATGTGATTTTGGAGATTCCTTTTCGTGCGAAAACGGCCATCAGGTCGTGCGATTCACCTTCAAATGCAATTCACCTTCAAATGCAATTTAAACGCAACAGCCAAATGAACCTTACAATAATTCGACTGAGTTGATTACGGCGCCGTGATGCAACTATTCGTGTTCTACGAATGTGCGTGTTGCCCATTCAAAAATTGAAGGCGCTCCTGTTTTTCTCACCTCCTCGGCAGGAATTCTCTGGAGATGTCGTTACTTGTAGCACTCGCATAGCCAAGTACCACGGTTAGAGAATTATTGTCATATCAATCATTTTATTATGAAAAAAGGCTGCTCTCTGATTGGTTAACGAATTTCGGAATTTAATGGATTATCCAATTTACATCTTTTGAAATGAGTTCCAAATTCCATAAATATTTCTGCAGAGGGTCATTTTTTCTGCTTGTTTATTTCATCTCTCCCTTGTGAATACGAAGTTCTACATGTCCGACCTAGAGTCCCTTTATACTGAGAGTCAAGACAACACCCCTCATGGAGTCACAAACGGGAATAAAGATTACACAAATTGAACGTTTTTCGTAATCTTTGATCGGCTCATTCTTAAATTCGTTTCTCCGTTCCTTCTCTCATTCCGTTTGTTCCTTGTCGAACCCGGAATTCCTCGGTCCATTCCAGATTATAATCTTTGCAATTGGTGAAAATTCAATCTTTATTCCCGTTTGTGACACTGTGAAGGCCTAAAATCCGGTTAACCAATCAGAAATGGATTCGCATTGTCTTGACTCTCAGTATAAAGGGACTCTAGTCCGACCTCTCCTATTGACTCGATCCATTGTGCGTCGTTACTATCGTCGCCGCTGACGTCACTGGCGCTTTATCATTCGCCTTCATTCTTTCGGCCCTCGACTAACGAGCACACCTCTTCTTCCCCACCTGTCTCCGGTTCCGTTTCGCAGAAATTCGTCCAAGTATCCGTTCGATTCGCTCCGCGGAGAGGGTTGGCAGGAAGTTTTCTTGAGAAGTGACAATGAGCTTAAGGCGCGCACCGTCGTTGTCGCGGAAAGTGTCGTGGAGCGAACCGAGCGGAGCTCGAGACTCCGACTCCGGGTCGTATCCAATCAAGCGACAATAAAAGAAAACTTGCTTCGATCCCTGAATTGTTGCTTCGCTTCCTCTCCTGTTATCGCGCCCTGTCTTCCCCGGCTCGCCATCCTGTGTCTGAGGAGACCATCCCTCCGTGGATAGTGAATTCTGATTCGATCCCTCTCGCGAGTGCTTACCATCTCTAGATAGGCACACTGAGCCCATCGATTCCGTCTCATGTACACGTACCCAGAGTCCCTTTATACTGAGAGTCAAGACAATGCGAATCCATTTCTGATTGGTTAACCGGGTTTTAGGCCTTCACAGTGTCACAAACGGGAATAAAGATTACATTTTCACCAATTGCAAAGATTATAATCTGGAATGGACCTAGGAATTTCGGGTTCGACAAGGAACAAACGGAATGAGAGAAGGAACGGAGAAAGGAATTTAAGAATGAGCCGATCAAAGATTACGAAAAACGTTCAATTTGTGTAATCTTTATTCCCGTTTGTGACTCCATGAGGGGTGTTGTCTTGACTCTCAGTATAAAGGGACTCTACACGTACCAGAGTCCGTTTATAGAGGGAGTTGAGACAACGCGACTTATGGATGTCGCAAACGGGAATAAATATTACACAAAGCGGAGGTTTTTTTGTAATCTTTGATCAACCGATTCCCGAATTCCTATCTCCGTTCCCTCTCTCGTTCCATTTGTTCCTTGCCGTACTCCCAATGCCCCGGTCCATTCAAGTTTATAATCTTTGCAATCGGTGAAAATGTAATCTTTATTCTCGTTTGTGACACTGTGAAGGCCTAAAATACGGGAACCAATCAGAAATGGATTCGCATTGTCTTCATTCTTATAAGGGACTCTAATGTCCACCAGCTTTACCACGTTTTCGAAGTGCAGAGTGATGTAACACCCAAAAGGCCCACGAACTTCAGCGAACATTTTCATGCTAAACTATTTGGATGAACCAGGCGCAAACTAACTAAATTAAAACGACTGTATACAAAGACACCATTTGCGTGCTCGCTGGTCCTTTTTGATGCAATTTTTTTGTGAATACTTAGTTACCATCAATGTGCCCATGGTCAGGATGAGCGGAAAGAAAGTATCTAGCTTTTACGCAAAATTATGCATTTTTTTCATGGAAGTATTCGAGGGGACTCGTGGGTTTTCGGCAGAATCTGACGATTTGTCGTTTCCACATGAAAGAGCGTAACTACTTTACATCTCTGAGTCGCAAAATTTCCACTCATAAATTGTATTTTAACTAGAAGACTATTAATCGTCTGTTACCGAAAAGTTCTCAAATTTTTCCTCTGACCACACTCAAAAGTCAGTAAAATTTCAGACAAAATTCACACAGTCATATTCGTGTAAAAAATAAAATTGTTTGTGTCTATTTTGCAACATTGGAATGGAGTTACGTTCCTTCGTTCGGGAATCAACGTATATTTTTTTTCTTTCTTTCCTTTCTTTCTTTCTTTCTTTCTTTTCTTTTTTTTCTTTGTCTCCCAAGCTTAATTTGAATGGTCTCGTGATTAAATTCCTGAAAAATTTGTGTTGCAGGGCAAGGATGGGATTGCAGAATGATTAACATGAAAGGGTCTGAGCAGTAGCTTGGTAAGTAGTCGCCTCGGTACTAATCCAATTGTCCTTAAGTAATGTGTATCATTCTCATGGAAGGAGGGATATTCGTCTCCTTTTTTTATATTCCTTTAAATTAGATTAAACCGTTATTTCAGACGCCCGTCACAAAACGCAAGATGAACAATTTTCGTATAAAACGCATCCTTTTAACTATGCATCAGTTGAAGCAGGGATGCAGACAATTTTGACAATATAACCGGCGCTTTAGTGCGAGTGCGGCCTCCTCATGGACGCTGCGGACAAAAATCGGTGGAAGACACTTGATTTTAAATAATGAAGATAGTAGCACCGACATAGGAAAACCCTTTGGCACTATCAAAGTAAAAAAACTCGAGAAATAAGAAAATGTTATATCTCAGGATTTTTTGCATATTTTTCGAGAAAAGTTCATTTGAAGTTGGCAACCTCGAATCAGCCCTATGTTATCAATGTAAAAGCAACGTGAAACACCCAAACTTTAAGTTCAAATATCTCTTGATAGTCGCAAAATGTCGTAAGATCTTTTTGGTGGAATTGAAGTTGAATATCTGAGAATTAAGAAAATGTCAACCACCCAGAGCATATTGCGTTCCAAGCGAGAGATCTTCGTTTGAAGTTGACGTCTTTTTCGCATGTATTTCTTATGGACCAGTGATTCTCAACCCATTTCTTACCCAATTTCTACCCAAATTTGAAGTAGTTTTGAGCGCAAAGTCTGAGAATTGTTGTGAGTCAGAAATGAATAAGAGAGAACGAAAACACACCAACTCGAAAAAAAGGAAATAATCAAGACACACACAAAACTACACAGTAGTTGAAGAAGTTAGTATGAGAAAAAGAATCTTGGTGCCGGAAGACAGGTACTTAAGGTCACTTTAAATGTCTAAGTTGGAACAGAGGCGCTAACTTCAATGACCATTACGAAAACTGACTCTCTTTACTGAAAATATTGAGCATTTTTGAGTTACCGAGTTGTTGTGTTTTAGTTCTCACTGATTCAAATATCTTCAAGATCACAAACTCAAAAAAAATATTCAGATGTCGAATTGTGAATTTTTGATTCTTGTCCAGAGAGGACTGCACTGTGCGGTGGGTCGCGATCTGTCGCAGTCGAGAAAAGTTTTTTTTTTTTTTTAAATCGCGCCAATTGTAGATTATCATCACCTTTTTACAGGTCATCCTCCAACATTTTTGAGGAAAAAGTTGGTTTCTTTCTATCTCGCTCTCTCTTTTCTTTGCATCAAGGCAAAAACCAATTTGATATTGGAAAAGCCAAGGATTTTCTGCATCTCTGAGTCCGCGAAGGTTTTAAACCCAGAGTACCATTACTCGACCCGAAGCCGCGAAGGTTGCACATTTCGGCAATACTCGGGCAAGTCTACGGTCTACGAGAATTTTTTTTCGATCACACTCTTCGGAAAGACAAAGCGCCAGCTCATTCAATAATGAACCACCAAATATTACGGACATCAAAAGGTCCTTTAAGTTCCACCGATGACCAATAAAAGGCTCTACGTAAAATTTTTTTCTTCTTTTACCCTAAGAATATTAACAGTTTACTTAACGTCAAAATGTGATGAAATTCCGTGAATTTTAAACGAATTTTCATTAATTCTTCAATTTCCATCGGTGCTCTCAGTAGAGGTGCGAATTTTTTTGGTGTGCCCCCCGACTTGGCAAAGAAGCTAAGCTATCGATTCCGATGTTTGTTGTCTGCTGGCAGTATGAAAATGACGGGAGGCTTACCCTTCAGTGGGCGGTGGGAAGGGGGGAGAGGCGGACGGTCCGTGACTTTAATTCTCGGGCGTTGTATATTCGCCGAGACGTGATCGACAGTTTTAATTACCCTGATTCAAGCCTTCCGCTGACAAATGATCCAACGGATGACCCACGAATCTCGCCTCGCTTACGTAACCCCTAGATTGCTTCGGAGGAAATAGCCGTCCGTTTTCGACTGACATCGAATGATTGTGCGCCTACTATAATCCAACACACTTTTTTGTAGAATCATACAAAAACCAAATTTTTCTTCTGCCTGATCGTGGCAAAATCAGGAGTAGAGTGTGCCAGTGTTCCTCTGAATTTTTCAGGCCAATCACGGTTTACCCTGGAAAAGAAAGTCTCTTGGATCCAGAGTCCACTCAATAGCTTTTAACTAGAAAACTCTTGATTCAATCGGATTTTTACTCAAATCGAGAGTAAAACCTCTTGATCTAAGCAGATTTCCTTTTGTCTTTCGAAATGAAAGCCAAATCGCAATAATAAAGACCCTGCCATTTCTGTGATTCCTTACGAATTTGATCAATAATTACAAATGCACCCCTCTCGCATGATCGAGTTTTGCGCTCAGATTTTTCTGAAATGGAAAGTTGCATTACACTGAAAACTTGTCTGACTACTTGTAAACTGATTACTTGCCTTCTTGCAATCAGTATTTGAGAAAAACCACAGTATATTCAGGAACTCCGACTGTCTCCTCTGAACTGAACTATTGGAATGAATGATCACGTACAGTATGGTGTCACACATCATCGAAGCAGCAAACATATTTTCAGAGTTTCTATGGACCATTGAACAAGGTACAAATTATGATACATGTTTTTCTACCAGAATTTTACGTGGAACACGATTCTTGCTTCGAAACTTGCTGTAATCGACTCCTAATTAAGATATTGACGTTTTTTTTTTTTAAACTGTCCACGGGAAATTCGAATTGCCCAGTCACAAGTAATGCATTACTCTACTTGAGTCGAATCGCGTTTTACAACGGCTCTGGCAGGCTTCTCAATCGAGCATTGTTTCTCTCCCACCCCTTATTGTTCACAGTGTAAACAATTAGCTATGGCTGAGCTGAAGCGTCAAGATTGAGGTTGCCACATTCTCGTATCGCAGAAACTGCCACGGTAACGCTCAGTGTGCGGTTTGACTCACGCAGATCATCGTGTTTCCATGAGCAAGAAGTTTGAATTCTTGCGTCAAGAAACATTAAATATATTGGTTATCAGTTAATTTAAGTAATTTTCGTCGCAGGAATCGTGTTTTGCTTGAAATTTTGGTTAAGTATCATGTGTAAGAGTGCTTAACTATGTGCCTTTTCGAGTAGTCTGTTGACCCCGTGATTATCCAAAAATAAAAAGTTCTGCGGATTATGAAATGATGAGCACAGTGTTGAAATCTGACAATTTATTTGTCTGCACCGTTTATCCGTGGAACCCCAATCGTAAAGCAGGATTTACGACGCGACGGTCCTTGATCGTTGAAAATTAAAAGTGGTTCAAGGCATCCATCAAAAGTGTGACAACTCCACCGAGCAAACATTCGAATGCCACCGTGACAAGCGGAGGTGAATTAAGGTGGATTTTGCAACAGCGCGACCCATTAACGCTGAAGTTGATTATATCGATCAATATCGTGGCTTTAAAAATGCGCCTAACGCCACCCCCTCCAACCCCATCTCCCGTGCCCCGCTTCGTTGTCTTGGTCCGCTGTGACAGCACATAGCGGCATAGCGGGTGGATTCTTTTTAATAAAAGTTAATTAAAACCGTCGTGTCATCGCCAATAAAATACGCCGCGGAAAGCGTTGCCGTCCTAGCCGCACGTCGGGAGCCACTTTTATTGTTCTCGGATTTTGAAGGATCACCGGGAAAATGACATAAATTGTACTCACAGAGATTTTGATTGCCTTTCTTTAGCTCGGGATCGTTTTCACGCGAGAAACGCGCTTCTCGGCAGTTATCGGTCGCAAGAGACTGCTTTCATGACTTTGCCATTCAATGGATTAAGCGATGGGTGCAGAGATGACATTTTTTGGGCACAGTGTCTCAAAATATCTGCTAATGTTTAATCCATCATAATTTAAGCAAATCTATGTTTTTGTTGTAACTTTTACTGAATATTCTTTGTGATTTTACAGTGCTAAAAACGTAAACAATTTAGTAAAAATTTCAGAATATTCACCCAATAGAGAATTTGCAGGTGCCTGAATTTGATGAATTTCGTGTTTAAGTGGAAACTACTGAGTGAACTGAACACGAGGATATCCTTGGTTCATGAATTGAACAATTGGAGCAGCTATGACAAACTGATGTAATCTGCCAAAATACGTGTGTTTAAATGGGAAATGCCTCCAGATGACGTCACTAGGTGGTGCGTTTTCTCATGTTTAAATCTATTTTTATACTATTTCCCACATCAGAAATAAAGTATAAAAGATACCGAGAAATCAGCTCTCTATAAGAACTTTCAGATGAAGCATTAAAAATTTTGCATGCAAATTCTCCATAGTCTCCTCTCTTAAATAAAAATTAGCACTGGTGATTCTGAAACCCTGCAACCAAGAAATGCCCTTTCTGCACCTAACGCCGCATATACGTCATCAGGGCTGGAAAAAGGGTGGTGTGCCAGGAGCAGCTGCATCTGGCGTCATCATCACCAGGGGTGCTAAAATAAGAGGAAAGAAAAAATAGGGGATTAACAAACAATACCGATAAGTAAAGAATATATACCGGGGAACGCAAAATAGCGAGCTATTCAAAAACAAGCGGGATCCCGCCGCATATGCTTTGAGTGAACCAATCAGCGATTCCGTTTGGCAGATACCGTCCATTTGAAGTTCGCATTCAATTTCAGCGCATATCGACGGTGAAACTACCAGACCACGTATCTCGTTTGCGGTGTTTCAAAATCTCCGCTCCCATTTGATTTTTGTTGAAGGTGAACAAATCAAATTATTTCTTGAAAATTTCACAAAATTTTATTCGCTTAGAGAAGAAAAAACATGGATGTTCTCAAGAGTTGACGTTGAGTAGTTTTCCATTTAAAAAATAAAGTATGACAACGTCACAAACGGAGATACGTGGCCCGGTAGTTTCACCGTCGCACAGTGGATCGAGTCAATAGGAGAGGTCGGACAAAATTTGGAAACCTTAAACGCTCATAACTCCGTTTATACAAGATTTTGATGTTATAAAAGTGGTTCTATTGGTTTCCTCG